CGGCCAGCTTCTTGAGGGTCCGCTCGCGGAGGGCCTCGTCCTTCACCCCCCCTCGCTGCTCTCTCTCCTTCCTCACTGTCTTGCCCCCCTCCCGGCTCGCCACTCACCTCACTGCTCCAAGCGGCGGCGGCAGTAGTCGCAGAGCGTCCCCTGCGCATGTGCAGGGGACGCTTTGTAAGTTTCGGGGGGATTTAAACATCCCCCCGATTTCCCCCCCAACATTTAGGATTTTTGTGCACACGTGGGGACTGCCCCACGTGTGCACAAACCTCTCCCTCCCCCCCAGGTGGCCCCGGAGCGCGGATTTAGATATCCGCACAGACGGGGCCACTTCACTATTAGATATATAGATAAGCTTCTTTTTTAAAGTTTAGTGCTGTGAACAGGAGAATCCAAAGGCTGTTCATTAAAAAGTTTAATGAATTAACACCAATATGTTAACTTACTACATTATTATGTACAGTCCTGATCAGTCCATTAAAAAAATCATGAAGCTGGACATGTACAGAAAGGGCAACCAGAATAATCAAAAAGTTGCAGTGGGTAGTATATCCACTTTGTGTGGGTCTGGAGTTGGTTCTGTCATTAAATTCACTTGGATTAGTTAATTTGAGAGTAGTTTCCATTGGTTTCAGTAGAAAACACATTTCTTCCTGTAAGTTTGTCCCTTTGCACAATTGGGATGACATTCTAAGAGGCTAAAATCCTCTTCCAAATTTCAGGTAGATAGGAGAAATTGTTTCTGTGTTAGTGACAAATGCACATACTATTAATCCAACTTTGCCCTTCCCCACCATTCAATGGGTATGAAATTCTTAAGAGATTGTAGCCTTCACCCAAGATGGGGATTTGAACCTGGGTCTCGCAGACCCTAATCTGAAGCTCTGTTACATCACACTTGCTTTCATAGGGTGGCTGCTGATGAACAGTAGCAAGGAGCTGGGCCTAGCTGAGTCATGCAAATCAGGCGGTATCAAGTCACCCAGAGGGTGCTGCCTAGGGATGCCAGCCTCCAGGTGGGACCTGGGGATGCCTGGAATTACTGCTCATCTCCAGACTACAGAGATAACTTCCCATGGAGAAAATGGATGCTTGGGAGGGTGGACTCTGTGGCATTGTGCCCCACTGAGGTCCCTGTCCTCCTCAGGCTCCACCCGCAGATCTCCAGGAGTTTCCAGACCGTGATCTGGCAACCTTACCCACAA